CCCTCTCTCTCTCCCCGTTTGTGTATGGTGCCTTCACCTTTCCAGCTGCTGCACCACAGCTGGGCCCGTAGCATTCATTTGCTCCTTATGGGGTGTAACAGACAGACAGACATTCCCCGTCCACCAACAAGCGCCAGCCTCATGGCTGAGGCGGTTTTGGCCAGCTAGCGGCGCAGGCTGGCCTGGCATGCCCCTAGTTCTCTCCCAGCATTGCAGCGCATGCATTGCATTTGAATTGGTGCATCTGATTTGAGTGGTCAAATCCCTAACACTATCATTTAGGCCCCCGGAAGGTGACAGGAAGTTTGGGGATTGGCGGCAGTAGGGGAGGAGACCAAGGAGGTGGTGGGCCAGCTCACGCAGAATATACACACCCCTGCACCCTGTGCACCTGGATTTCACTTCCTGCTGCCCTCGCCTTCAGCCCGCGGCCGCAACACGGCAGCAGCAACGCTGCTGGCAGCCATGCCCGGCGGGCCGCAGGTGGCAGCCTCCCGCCGTCGGCCGCTGTTTGCGGCCGCGCCATGCGCGCCTGCACCTTGCTTGCTTATGTGGGCTTACAGTCTGGTTTCAGCAAGAACAAGCTTGCAGCACAGACTTTGTTGTTCGAGCAAGGAGGGATGAAGCAGTAGAACAACAGGCAGGACAGGCCAACTGACAGGTCACCGAGCGTTTAGTGTGTGAGCGGGCAGACAGTACTGCATGTCGTGGAGCAGGTGTGGTGCGGTAAGAGCAAAGGGGGTGGACATGAGAGTGGGGGTTCAGGGCGGGACTGCAGGCAGCGCAACGGTGGCGGTCAGCCAGCGCTGGTGACAGGCGGCAGCAAAGGCGGCGAGGCGGCACGGTTTCTGGCGGAGGAAGCGGTGGGGAGGATGGGGCTCAGCAAACAGGTCAGGAAAGTTGAGGCGCAGCGGGGCGTAAAGGGGGCAGGTGAGCAGCATGTGGGGGGCATCTTCAATGCCGTCGTGGCAGTGGGGGCAGACTCGCTGCTCTCGGGGGCGCCGCGTCCAGCGGCCGGTCTCTTCCGCGCCCCAATGCGACCCGGTGCGCAGCTGCGCCAGCGCCTCGCGGTCCTGCCGACGCCGTACTGCATCCAGGTAGGTCTCGCGCTGCCCAAACATGGCGGGCGCCAGGTTGAGGGCGCCCACCACGTTGTGCACATAGTGCTCCAGCCGGCTGGCGCCGCCCTTCGCCAGCGCCTCCTGGAGCTGCGCCAGCTGGCGGCGCTGCGCAGCTTCCCCCAGCTCGCCGAGGTCAACAGGTGCTGGCTGCTGCAGGTCCAGCTGCATGCCGACCGCTGCGAGACCGGCCGCCCAGCTGGGCAGCCCAGGACTGCTGTGCCAGGGGGTGGGCGCCATCTGCGAGCTGCACGCTGGACAACAACGCTTGCTGCAACAGGCTGCCGGGACACTCCTCCAGCGTCTTGTTCCAGAGTTTGGCTGCCCGCCGCAGCCAGCGCGCTCGCCAGTCTCCGCAAGGAGGGCCGCATTGGGGGTGCTCTGCCGGACCCCCAGCAGGTGGCGTAGGTAGCTGAGCTGCAGCTTCTCGGCCGCGCTGCCGGCACTGCCACGATGGCAGCACGCCGCTTTGGCCGCCAGCTGCACGCCCCACACCTCAGCACCATGGGACAGCACTGAGTCCACCATGGTGCCGAAAAGCCGCAGCTAGACGGGCGCCGCCTCGATGCCCACCCCTGCGCAGCGGGTCCGGCAGTTGTGCATAGCCAGGCGCGCCAGCTGTGCCCGGGCTGGCGCTGCTGCCCCTGCCAGGCAGGTGCTGGAGTGAAAGGCGATGCCGAGATACTTGAAGCTGGTGACTGCCGCCAGCTGCTGGCCGGCGAAGGTGAGGCCTGCTGCCTCTGCTGTCTGCTGCGCCGCGTGCTGGGTCCGCCGCCCACTGAGCAGCATGAGCTTGGTCTTGTCGATGTTGACAGTGAGCCCCCACTGCCGGCAGTACTGCTGGAGCAGGTTTAGCTGCCGCTGCAGCCCGGCCGCTGAGGTGGCCAGCAGGACCATGTCGTCGGCGTACAGCAGCGGCGGCACCGCGGCGCCGCCGCTGCCGAGGTAAAGGTAAAGGTAAAGGTGGGGAAGAGCCTCCACAGGCTTAACTTCCCGGTTTTAACGTCTAGCTTTAGACCATTATTTGATCTGCCCGACGCGCCAAGTGCAGTACCCCCCACTAGTAGTGAATGGGTCCCGGGGAGGCCTGTGCCGAAGCCTTGGCGATTCTAATAGGCGTTCCCGAAGGAATTGGCTTGGATTGGCGCTGGGGAGGTCGAGCTGCTCGCCACGCCGCGCCGCCGCCATCAGCTCCTCCTCCAGGTCGTCGATGTAGAGGCCAAAGAGGGTGGGGCTGAGGGGGCAGCCCTGCTTCAGGCCTGTCACGGCCTGGAAGCAGGGCGACAGCCCGGCTGAGGTGCGCACCGACATGGGGACGTTGCTGTACAGTGCCTGCGCTGCCGCCAGCCAGGCTGTGTCCACACCGCGTGCCGCCAGCTTCTGCCAGAGCTGCTCCCTGGGCACGCGGTCGTATGCCTGCTTGAAGTCGACGAAGCAGCCCCACAGCTGCTGGCCTCTCAGGCGGTGTTGGTCCTGGAGTGCGCGCAGCAC